TCTTATATCTGCCTTTACTTAAAACAAAAACTATAAACAATAATAATAATTTCACTTTAACAAATCGATTTTTATCATTCTTTTAAACAAATTAATTGAACCAGCGTTTTTACAATCACTTTCCAATTTATTCCATAATCGTATTCCCTGGACCGAAATACACCTGTCCTTTAAATTTGTTCGAAAATGGTTCTGTTTTCAGAGCACAATGAAACAAACACATTATAAACAGTTTTAGCCGGATGATGTCACCTAATTAGGTACCAAATAAGTAAAAACTTGACATCCAAACTGCATTGCAACCATTTCACATTGAAAGTAGTGCAACTAGATGAGGATGTTTTATTTCCTGTTTGCAGTAACGACACACTAAAGGAACAAACCTACTTGGGATTCTGTTGGTTTTATAAGGCAGCAGTGTAGGAAGGAAGCCAGTCTTGCTGACRATGACTGCGACCAGCAGCCCTGAGCGGTACGGTACATGGAACAGAGCCCCGCCATCTTCCCCACTTAAAGCCGTGCTGTTGCAGGTGTAGTTGATGAAGAGCTCCACGAGTGCCTGGCTCAGGGGCTGCTGACTCATCTTGTCATTTACTTGGACCCTCAGATTAAAGGTGTGCCCTGTAAAAAAAAAGTAGAGGTCAAGACAAATATATAAGTAATAACCAATGTTCAGATTGAAAGTAGGAGGAGACTAAATGTATTTTACATCTACAACAATGCAACAAACTCTTCTTTTTACAGAGCCCGCGAGGGGACATGGGGGATTTTTTTTTCTTTTTGCATTCCCACACAAAAGTATTGCGTTACCTCGCAATACCTTTTGCGTTCCCTCGCAAAAGTCCTTTATCACTGTTGTGCCCGCCAGTTTATGAACAAACTCACGTTTACCATTAGCGAGTTAGCCTACTGCTTTATTTCAGCTTCAGAATGACTATATCACACAGCCATGCATGGAAGAATGTCATTTGTTGATATTTTAACACAGTGCAGCTACGCAACATCAATGTCATTTTCACAAACTTGTGGTGACACATCCGGTTTTGGTACCCGGATATTTCAAAAATAAGTCTGATTTGATTCAGTTCATATACAAAAATGTTTTGCGTGGGAACGCAAAACAATATTGCAAGGTAACGCAAAGGTATTGCGAGGTAACGCAAAAGTATTGCGAGGTAACGCAAAATTATTGCGAGGTAACGCAAAGGCATTGCGAGGTAACGCAAAGGCATTGCGAGGTAACGCAAAGGCATTGCGAGGTAACGCAAAGGCATTGCGAGGGAACGCAAAAGTATTGCGAGGTGATGCAAAGGTATTGCGAGGTAACGCAAAGGTATTGCGAGGTAACGCAAAAGTATTGCGAGGTAACGCAAAGGTATTGCGAGGTGACACAAAGGTATTGCGAGGTAACGCAAAGGTATTGCGAGGTGACACAAAGGTATTGCGAGGT